TCTATATCTATTCTTTTACCAAACTCTGAACTCACAACATAATAATGTACTATTGAAATAGCATTGCTAATTACAAAAATAGCATTGAATGTTGATTGTAGGTATTAAAAAAAGAGAATAGATAGAAAAAAATGAGATAGTAATATCCAAAATTGAATCTTGTTTGTGTATTATAATACAAAAATACAAAAGCCTAGGTCTATTTTGTTCTGGTCTTTCATTCGTTTGCATAGCAAAAGTAAAAGTATAAAAAAGAAATTATATAAAAATTATATAATTATATAATTATATAAATTTGTAATATTCGAAGTCTAAATAAAACAATTTTAATATATATATATTTTTTATGAATATGTGATATTAATGTGAAATATTTATTTATATTATTAATATTTGTATTATTAATTGAAATTTCATTGCTTACTTTTACATAAAAAAAAAACCTATTAATTATCTGTAAATCTATAATAAATGCTTACCAAGTATTTTTTTAATTTTCTCTTGAAATCTTCTAATATAGATATGATATTTTATCACATATTTTTTGGATATTTGAGAAGACGTAGTATATTTCTATAATTAAACACATTTTATGAATTTGTATTTGCTATATTTGTTTAAATTTGCTTATTGTATTATATATTATATATTATTATATATGTATTGTATTATATAGTTATATTATATAGTTGTTGTATATTTCGCTCTGATCGAAATTAATTATTAAATCGAAATTATTGCAATGCAATAATTTTGTATTCTAGATTTCATTAAAAATATAATTTTTTTTTAAATTTTTGAAAGTATTGGAAACAATAAAATATGTATGTATTTGTCTATATGAACTTTTTGTTAGTTTATCATATTTTAACAATAAAATGATTTTTTTTCACATTTATATTGTTGTGAAATGTATTCCAATTTCATGATTGCATTAAATAATATTATATTATATTTGATTATTTCTGGTATTAAATTTTTTAAAATTTTTCCAATGATTAGATATTCTGAAGTCTTTTATATTGAAGTTTTTAATTACCACAATATTAATAAAAATTAAAATTAATTATAATTTTAATTTTTCTTTGTTTTTATTAATATTGTGGTTATTAAATTCTTTTAAAATTTTAGAATTCTTTTAGATTATTATTATTATTGTTGTGGTTATTAAATTCTTTTAGTTACAGTGTTGATATTGTGTGTTTGTTGCTGATATTATAAATTTGGAGATATTCTTTTATTTTCTATTTCTATCCATTCTATTTTAATTAATTCTATTTTAATTAATTTTTTTTATTTTCAATCATTTTTTATATAAAACTGTTATATTTAATCGCAAGTAAATTTTTGCTTTAAAATCTACTCCTATTATATATTTATTTCGTTTTGATAGTGTTTTGTTTCTCGGTAATATATATTTTCTGTGAAATATAACGTGTCATTAGAATTTATCTTTTTAGATATATTTAATATTAATGATCTGTATATTTCTTTTATTCCTTACATAAGAAAATATTTTATTCTATTTTGAATTAAGATTACTGTTCTTCCTCTTCTTTTTCTGATTTATTTAGTATTGTGTATATATCTAATGAATGTATGTATGTAAAATAAATAAATGATATTTTGTGTGCTTCAAGAAGTAAGTATACATTTCTCTCGTATTGATTAAGAAGTTGCTGCAGTTTGATATTCTTTCCATATAAATCTTTGTTATAATTCTATAACATTATTTTTAGCACTTGCATTGCATTATTTTATTTTTTTTATTTAATGAAATACGTGTTATAATCTTATTCATGAACATTATTGTTTGTTGTATTTATTATTTTATTAAGTTTGTTAATTTTTTTTACTATTTTTTATTCTATGCAAAATTATGCTATCATTATTTAAAGATACATTTTTGTCTCTTTTATTTTATATTTCTTTTTTGTTATATAGTGTATCTGTTATTTATTGAATTTGAAAAGGGAGAAATCGTTTATTATTTTCTGTCCTGTGGCCATTAACTGTATTGTTTCTTAATGAATGATTCCGTCACACACTTTTATATGAAGTTGGTAGAAAAAGTTTTTTTCTGAAATTCTATTTCGCAACTTTTATAATTAACTTTTATAATTACATATGCTTGTACATATTGTACTTATTTATTCTTTTTCCTTCTGGGCAATCATTTTACATATTTAAAAATTTTATTACGATATTATTTTTTAGTCCATCTATTTGGTACCTTGCATATTATGGAATATTTTTTGTTGAACATGAGGGTTTTATTTTAATAATCAATAATTTATTTATTTCATAGATTATTTTTTGTTTGTTATTAAATGTTTTGATTATTTCAATTGAAAACATTGGTATTGATCTTGTTTGTTTGTTTTTAATGTTATATGTGCCCATGTAATATTTTTTCAATGTTCTTGTTTGTAAGCACTTATTGCTTACGAGATTTGTAAACAGCTTATTCGGAGAAATTCCTCACAAAGATCTTTTTTTGTTATTATCACTCACAAATCTCTATTAAATCTAAACAAAGAATGATGTAATATAAGAAAACTATCATTTTTGAGAGTTTAATCGATTGTTATAATTGTATATTTTTCTCACACTTCAGCCTGGCTGAAGCGGAGTACGAGAGTCTCAAAAGTGATGTACTGCAAACACGGCTGACTCAATTATAATCATTCTAATTCGAGGAATTCTCCTCTAATTTAGGGATGTCGTAAGTCAGGCACTGATTGCGATGTTATTATCATGTTCCACCGAGAAATTGAGGTCTTCCCAAATGAACTAGGAAGAGATTTTTTAAGGGCACTGGTGAAAAGAGTATAATTGTGAACACATAGTAGTCTGACCGCCGGATACGACAAATAAATAGTTTTGTTCTCTCACATCGTGCTCTGACCGTCAAACATAACTATCGGCTGTGACATTGTGAGAGATCTAACTCTTTTTAGACTGCATGTGTAACCGCACTAATGCAGTCCAGTCATGTTTAAGAAATATATCGCGACATCTATCGAAAGGCATTCTACGAGCATCCAGTTATTAACTTACGTACAGATACACTATATACGATCATTATCATTACATTACTATCGTTGCGAAGAATCCTCAATCGAAGTCGAGTAATATAATTCTTTTACTTTTAGTGTATTTTGTTTGATAGATAATATGTTTGATAGATTGGAAATAGCTTGCATTTTTCTCTCTTAATATTATTACTTACTTATATATACTTTCATTTACTTCGATGTTTTCAGTTTGGATTTTTGTATGTGAATTTTTATTATTATGTGAATCATAATATATATATATGATTTTAAATTTTAAATAATATTCATTACTGGTTACATAATATTTGCTTTAACAAATATTGGTGATGGTTTTTCTTTTTCTCTCAACTTGTTTAGTATGCAGTATCTGTTTATTATATGTATTATTGGAATTACTTATTTTCATTGTTTTTCATATCATTATTTAATATATTTGTTAGAATTTTTTGTGTTTGATCTTACTACAGTTTTTGCTCTAATAAAATCTTCATTTTCTGATTAGTTTAATGCCATTATTATTGAATTATCTACATTTATTGATGTTTATAGTTGTCTTTTTCTATTTAGTAATTGATTGATTTATTTTTTTTTATAATTTTTTTTTCTGCTTTAGTAACATTATTTCTCTTCTGTTTTTTATAAGAATTAACAAATTACAAATATTGTATTTATTTATTTTTTGTGGATCATGTGTCATCCAAAAAAAAAAAATCATAAAGTAATAAAATAATTAAATTACTATATTTTTTAAAAATACAATTTTTATTTATAATATAAATAATATAATAAATTATTATTGTTTTATTACTTATTATTTTTTTGAAATAACAAAAAATGAAATGAATAACAATTAATTAATTAAAACAATTACAAAAATAAGTATACAGATTAACATGATTGATTAAATAATTATATTTCAAATACTCTTTTATTTCAAAATAGCTATATTTCAATAGCTTTTATTTCAAAGTTTATCAATAAAAAAACAATATTTTTTTATTTTTCGAAATTTTTTATTCATATTCTTTTAATATTAACATTTTTTCAAGAAACAAAAATTTCAAGTTTTCTTTTTTCATCATACTGTAATTATGCTCTTATTTGATGTCATTTAAACATCTAATAATTATTAGAAAGTGATCGAAGATTACTCAAAGAAGCAAAATTTTCTGGAATACTGAGAAAATTCATTTGTTCATCTCAATTTTGATTCGATTTTAAATTTCATTTGATTTCGTGAATGGAAATTTTGGTCACAAAATTTGTTTTGGAATATTTCAATTTTCAACTTCAATTTTTTATAAAAATCAACTTTAAAAAATTTGTAAATTTTTTATGATAACGATAATGATTTTAATTAAAGATAAAAATAGTTTATAAGATGCTAAGATAAGGAATTTCGTATTTTTAATCTATTTCGTAAAATATAAATATAAATATATAATAATATTATTAATAATATTATTAATCACAATTTAATAAAAATTAGAATACAAATTTTTTGAAAATCTTGAAAATATCGATTTTGAAATCTCGAGTTATATACTTTACTATACGAATTAGATTTTTGAGGTATTGAAATTTCTAAAATATTTTTAATAAACAATCATATATAATATTTTGGAAAATAATTTAATTTTTTTTTAGTATATATTTTTTTTTTTATAAATTTTTATATATATTTTTACAAATATTTTTCTATTTTTAATCAATTGCAATCTTGTGCTATTTATTTTATGAGTCTATAACTTATATCATATTTTTAATCATGCCAATCTTTTAATCCTTAATAATAATTTTATATAATTTATCCATTATATAATTTTATTATGTGAAATTTTATTTCTGCAATTCACAGCACAAGTTTTCCTTCCATTAAATTAAAATTATCAATTAGTGATAACATATTAAATTTTACAAGAATGAACATTTTTATTTTAGATTATTACACAATAGCGCTAAAGCTATACGGTATATCGATGACATTAAATAAGAAAGCATTTCAACAAAATGTTGATCAAGAAAAATCGACGACAGAAAGGGAGAATAAGCAGAAAGAATTAATCCAGGAATTATCGAATTCCGAGCCGAAATATAAATGGAATATCGTTTGGAAAAATGTGATTGTATTTATCTATTTTCATCTTGGAGGTATATATGGATTTTATCTCTGGATTAACGGAATCAAGACATATACAATTTTGTGGTGTAAGCATAAATATTTTAATTTATTCTATGTTAATTATTGAAATAAATAAAAAATTTACTTACTCATGAATTATGTTTAAAATATCTCAAATTCAATTCCTTTGGATCGTTTAAGGATTGTTTTATTTTATTTTTGCATTCCGCGAATCTGAGAGATTGCTAGATAATGGTTACTGTCTATCTCGCTGTATGTGTTTTATTATACATAAGTAATAATTATTTTTGTATAAAAATTAAAGATACAATCTCTATCCATCTTATCGATACCGACGTATCATAAAAAACTTATACTATTATTTTACAATATAAAGTTTATATAATCTACATCGCAAATATTCTCACCAAAAAAAATATGCAATATCTTTGAACACTTTGCAGATAATAATGCTCATACACAAAAATGTTAAAATCATTATCAACAATTGCTTGTAGAATCATATTATATTACTCAAAAATTAGCTAGAATCAAATAAAATCTAATAGAATCTAATAGAATGCAATAGAAGTTAAAATTAATATGATTAAAAAAATTATTATGAAAAAACAAAATCTACTAAATTTGTTAAATTTTTTGTTTCATATCCATTTTTATATCACATATTAACAAATATATCGTAATTTCACGTAAAATCACAAAATAGATTAAAATAAATCTGAACAAAAAAGAAAAAAAATTGTGATACATATGCACTATATATGCTCAAAATTTTTTAAATTTGTGAACTGGAAATTTTCCTTTGTTAAATTAAAAATAATAAATAAATTAGTAGAATTAAAATTTTAAATAAAATAAAATTTCATAAATCAATTGATGTGGTATTTTTAGCAATTTTCGTAGAATTTTTTGCCATCATGGGCATTACAGCTGGAGCCCACAGATTATGGTCGCATAGAAGTTACAAAGCGAAATGGCCCTTACGTTTCGTGTTGATGCTTCTTCAAACAACTTCTTATCAGGTAAATTCTTACTTTCTTTTTCTTCTTTTTTTTATAATTCATTGAAAATTAATATTATTTCTATAGTTCTATAGTTCTATAATTTTTTATAAATTTTATTATAGTATTTATAAAAAAAAGTATTAAAATTTGAAAATATATTATTATACTTGAATATTATAATATCAATCTATTTAATATTTATCAATCTATTTTTATCCTTTTATTTTTTTTAAACTTTTGTAAAAGAAAATATTGAAATTCAAAAATATATTATCATACTTAAAAGTTAATATGAATAATTCTTTTTTATTAATTTTATCTATCAAAATATTTATAAGAAAAAGTATTAAAATTCAAAAATGTTATTAACATTGAAACAATTTTAACGTTTTATATTCAGATTTTGTATTATCGTGTTTTTCTTTCAACGTGTTTTAAAAATTTCCTAAATAATATTGTATTATAAAAATTAAAATATTTCAAACTTCAATCTTGATCCGCAGAATCACATTTATGAATGGGTAAGGGATCATAGAGCTCATCACAAATTCACTGATACTGATGCGGATCCTCATAATTCTCGACGAGGATTTTTTTTCTCTCATATAGGCTGGTTAATGGTCCGAAAGCATCCGGATATATTTAAAAAAGGTGCTACTATTGATTTAAGTGATTTGGAAAAAGATCCCATTGTCGTTTGGCAAAAAAGGTGAAATATAATTTTATTTTTAATCTAACGTTTTAATTCTTTTCATTAATATTTATAACAATTTAATTTAATTTCAATAATATTTCATTCAATTCTATAATAAAATTATAGAATTTTATTATAGAAACTACATTTAAACTAATTTAATTATAAGTTATTTACAAAATTGATTAAAATTTTTCCGAAAAGAATTATATTAATTATATCTCGCAAATAAAAATATGTAAAAAAAAAAAAAAATAATAATAATAATTTTAATGAAAATAAATAATATAAAGTTTTATTTTATAATTTTACGAAATTTTATACATTATAAAAAAAAAATATAATCTTTAT